AGAGTGGCAAGAACGTGGAGCTCAAGTTTGTGGACTCAGTCAGGCGCCAGTTCGAGTTCAGTGTAGACTCCTTCCAGATCATCCTGGACTCCCTGCTGCTCTTTGGCCAGTGCTCATCCACACCCATGTCTGAGGCCTTCCACCCAACCGTGACAGGTGAGAGCCTGTACGGGGACTTCACGGAGGCCCTGGCCCACCTGCGGCACCGTGTCATCGCCACACGCAGCCCTGAGGAGATCCGCGGTGGTGGCCTCCTCAAGTACTGCCACCTCCTGGTGCGGGGCTTCCGGCCGCAGCCCTGCACTGACGTGCGTGCCCTGCAACGTTACATGTGCTCTCGCTTCTTCATCGACTTCCCAGACCTGGTGGAGCAGCAGCGCACACTGGAGCGCTACCTGGAGGCCCACTTTAGCGGGGCTGACTCAGCTCGCCGCTATGCCTGCCTGGTGACACTGCACCGGGTGGTCAACGAGAGCACCGTGTGTCTCATGAGCCACGAGCGCCGTCAGACCCTGGACCTCATCGCCACGCTGGCACTCCAGGCGCTGGCCGAGCAGGGCCCAGCTGCTGCAGCTGCTCTGGCCTGGCGCCCTCCAGGCACCGAAGGGGTTGTGCCTGCCACTGTCAATTACTACGTCACCCCCGTGCAGCCTCTGCTGGCCCGGGCCCACTCCTATCCCACCTGGCTGCCGTGTAACTGACTCAGACCCTGGCCAGAAGGGATGGGGCTTCCCTGGATGGAGTGGGGCCTTCAGGAGTGTGTGGAAGACATGACCAGAGACAGGCATCCTGTGCCAGGTAGCCCAGCACTGCTGCAGGGTTGAGCCCTCAACTGAACAGACCAGACTCCCCTAAGTGAGGCCCTTGTGGGCATAAGGCCAAGCTGGAGTTCTTGCAGACAGACCCTTCGGTTATTGCACCACACTTTTGGACCAGCATGATTGTATGGTGCAAGGGCTGTTTGTCTTGAGGGTCAATTGCCTTTAGGAGATAAAGCATGTTTGGGGTGGTAGCCTCAATGCCCATCATCTTGGGTTGATTTCTGTGGCCTAGAAAGGGTCTTCTTGGCTAGGGCCAGCCTGCAGTGATCCCAGCAGACTCCGAGAGCCTGCAGCCCACACAATGGCTAAAATGTGGTATGTTATGGGAACTACTCACTTTGGGTCGGGCTGGGCCAGTAACAGGGCCTGGTGGTCCAACCTGGTTAATCACTGGGAGGAGGGAATCTGAGGCATGAGGCAGATACCTGGCTTTGGAGAGGGGTAGGTTTAGCCCAGGCCCATAATACCCCTGTCCCAAGCTGTCAAGGTGTGCAGTGAAGGGCAAAGTGGCCTGGGGTGGGACACAGCTCATGCCCCTTCTGGGGTGTTGCTCCCTTCCCCTGTTTTGTAAGGACCTCCCTTGCCTGGGAGCTTGTTCTTTGGGGGGTGCTGGGTTCAAAGTGGCCACAGTCAAGTGCTCCCACCCCACTAGCCTGGTTACAGGGTCCTCACTTGGGGGAGGGGAGCCGTGCCCCGCCTCGTTTCCCATCCTTCTGGATTTGTTACTATTTTGCACTCTTAACACCTACCAATAAAGATCGTCTACACTGAGACTAGCACCATGCTTTCTCCTGGGAGAAGAAACTTCCATGGCTGTGGGGGCTGTGGCTGCCTCTGCCAGCCTGAGTCTGGCTTAGATTGTGGGAGGGGGGTTAGTGTCTGAGTCCTGAGCTGGGGCTGGGGTAATGCCCCGCCTTCCCTCAACACCAGCCCCAGCTCAACAGCTGTGCTAGGAGCTCATGTCTACACGTGTGACTTGCACCTGCACATTGCCTCAGCAAGTCTCTTGCTAAAGAGTAAATATTTCAATGTTTCCTGCCTAGAGTCCTAATGCCCCTGGACCTGGCCTCACATTCTGGTGAGGTCTGCTGGACCCCAGCTCTGCCCACCCCACCCCATCCCTTCCCAGGAAGCAGGTGGAGAACAAGCGGCATGAATCCAGACTGGAGATCCCTCCAGTAGTGGCAGCTGAGACTGGGGGACTTCTAGGGTCCGCGAGAGCCCAGGTTTGGCCTCCCTGGCTGGGAGAGGCTCCTTCAATCCTCTGCCTCCTCTCCTACCCCCAAGTGCTGACGGGCACACACCAGCTTGCTGTAAGCAGCTCCCCCAGAGGGGCAGGGTCTCCTCTTTCCAAACCCAGCTGGGGCCACACCAGGCTGTCTGGGAGTGAATGTCAGCTGTAAGCCCTCAGGGAGCTGTTCCCTCCGGGCATCAGCCAGTCACAGGCCTGGACGCTGCCCACTGTTTACCCAGCCTCTTTGATCCAGGAATTGCAAAGCTCTTAACATATGCAGCTTCATTAGTGGCCTCTGAAGTGTTGGCTTTGATGGTTCTAGCCAGGGTGGAAAAAACAAGGCCTCAGAGGAAGCCCCAAGTCACCTGGGTGAGTCCAGCCACCTTGCCTGCTCACTGGGTCCTTGCTGGGCTCAAAATGGCTGGAAGGGCAAGTGGAAAGGCATTCTTTGCTTGGTGACTGAAAAATAGTCCCCCATCCCCACCCTGGCCATGCCCACCCAACTAGGGTCCTAGGAGGAACTCAGTTTGTCCCAGCTGCTGATTCGGGCATGAAGGAGATGCTCACAGTGTAAGCACACAGGCTTGGGGTGGGGAGCGGGTTCACCTGGATGTGCTTGTTTCAGAGGATGAGAAAGCCAGAAACTCATGGTATGTGTGTGCATACACTGCATTCAGCCTTCCGTGTGCCAGCTATCCCTTTAGGGGTTGGGAACACATCAGCAAACAAAAGACCAAGATGCCCATCCTCGTGAAGATTATGTCCTAATGGGTCAGACAGAAAATTATATTGTCTTAGAAGGTCAGCAATACTTAAAAATATATGAACAGGCTAAGAGATTGGAAGTGCTGGGATTTGCAACTTTAAGAAGAAATCAGGGTGGACCTCATTGAAAGGGTAATTTTGATTAAACAAAGACAAAGGCAGTGGGAAGCAAGCCATGCAGACGTCTGGGGAAAGAGCTTTCTGGGCAGAAGGAACTTGTCTTTTAGCGTACACGTGCTCCTGGCAGGCATGTTTGCGGGAGGGCACGTGCGCCTGAGGGTGTCTGGCCTTGTGCAGGCGCATGTGCTGAGTGTCAGAAGTGGGAGAGTGTGAGACAGGAGCTCCCAAAGACAGCTACCAGTTCTGGAGCGCTTTATTCCAGACCAGGCACTCTGCTAAGGTCCTCCTGATCATTACCTCTCATTTCATCCTCACAACAACTCCCGGAGAGAAGAGCAAGTATTATTTCCATTTTATGGACAAGAAAACTGACGCCAGAGAAGTCAAAGAAGTCAGTCTGACTCCACAGCCATTGCTGTAACCCCTGCACCAGCCCACCTCTACACTCTGATTTCACATGGGTGAGTATGACAGTATGTCTGCTGTACATATATGTGACAGGGCATGTTTGGTATGTGACAGAGTGAAAGAGTGTGTATTACTGTGACATTTGCCATTTTAGGTATGACCATGGCAGAGTGTAGCAGCATGCCAAGATGTGCATTTTATTGATGTACATCTGACACCAGCCGTGGCTTGTGGTGACTATGTCAGAGGCCTGTGGTGGCAGCAGGTGTGTCTGTGGGTGTGTTTGGGAGTGGTGCAGTGTTTCCGGGTGTGAGAAAAACACTGACTCAGTGGCTGGCATTGTTCTCTCATGGACAATTCCTGCAGCCATCAAAGACGCCAGGACAGGCAGGAATCAAGAAGTGGGAGTCAGAGCCAGAGAGAGGAAGGCTGAGGGAGGAAAGCCCCGGCCCCTCGGCCCCAACCCCACAGTGCTCTCCAAGCAGCAGTCCACCCACCCCTTAGGACCCAGAGTGGGTGGGGGGAGCTCCAGAGGGAGAAGAAACATTGTTGTGAACTTTGGGGAACAGAAGACACCGCCAGACAGTTACATGATGTGGTGGCTCCTTCAGTCCCACTCTGCCCTTCTCCATGCTCTGTGCCCTGGGGAGGCTGACCTCTATGGACCATGCATCAATGGCTCCCTTGTTCCCTGCCTTCCCGTTGGGTTCAGCCAATGAGAGGCCCTAGCAGAGACTGGAGTGGAGGAAGAGAATGGGGTATTTATTCCCCCTCCTCCGTCCACACCAAGTTGCCATGGTTGGCTATATTTCTCAACCTGTCAAGGGTCCTCTCCACACAGCTGCACTCTCTAGGTCCCTGTGACCTCCCCTCCCCTCCTCCCTTCAGGCCCAGTGGTTGTAAAGGCTTCCCACTATTGCTAGCCCCAGAAAGCTGCACGGTCCCTTGTTAGTCTCTTTTCTTTCTTTCTTTTTTTTTCCAAGGAAGATTAGCCCTGAGCTAACATCTGCCTCCAATCCTCCTCTTTTTGCTGAGGAACAGTGGCCCTGAACTAACATCAGTGCCCATTCTCCTCTATTTTTTAATATGTGGGACGCCTGCCACATCATGGCTTGATAAGTGGTGCATATGTCTGTGCCCGGGATCTGAACCGGCAAACCGCGGGCCACCAAAGCGGAGCATGTGAACGTAACCGATATGCCACTGCACAGGCCCCCTTGTTAGTTTCTTAAACCCAGCCCCCATCTTTGGAAATAGTCCCCTTTTAAACCTCTTCCCAGTTTGAGTGTTCCCTGTCTCCTGCTGGGATCCTGACTGTAAAACAGGTCCATACAGTCACCAGCACAGTCACACACAATCCTCCATGGATCATCTGCTGCCATGTTATCACAAACATACAGAACTTCTCTCCATGTCACACAGTCACACACGTGCAATCCCATCCCCCAGCTTCCTCATCACATCCTTAATCGGAGAAGACTTCCTGGAGAGGGTTAGCTTTGAGCCAGATGCAGGGAGAGAGCAGTCTGCAAATCAGGCAACAGGCCCAGGTTGCCAAACACAACAAGCAACTGCCAACTTAAAGAGCCATGACAGACACACGAAGGAAAGGCGGCAGGGACATTGCAAAGTAAACCTCAAAACCACATGCATTGGTCTCACATTGAAATTTATTCTTCCTGAATGTGTAAATCAGGGGACTGATTCAGAGTGCATTCATTTGGCATAATTCTACAAGTTCTGGGTTGTGTGTGAGTAAATGTGGCCCCCTTCCCTCTACTATCAGGGTATGTGAATAAATATGCTTCCTTTTTTCATATAAACTTTGCTTCGAATTTTTATGTTGCCGCTACCTCTTCCTGAGAAACGTGTGTCCCCCCAGGAACCAGCAGCCGATCACCTTTGTGAGGCACACTCCCACTCCACAGGCACACTCCACAGGCACACTCCCACATGGAGAGGCGTCGGGAAACTAAGGGATTTCTCAGACCAATGTCTTGCCACACACAGGCCTCCCAGCGCTGTTAGACTGAGAAGCAGTTGCATCCACCAGGGTGGAGACCCCAGATGCCCTGTGACTTGTTTAAGAATGATGACTACATTTTCAAAAGAAATTCTTTTCACTTTCACATTGGGAATGTTTGTGCCACTCTTAAATCATCTGATGGCATCCCAGGGTCCTGTCATAACCTTTCCAGTTGTACAGCGTCAGCCAAAGTCAAATGTGGCATATATAAAGAAATTCACGGTACAGGCCACTTCCCCAGAATCCAGCCCCTTGCCACTGTAACGTGAAGGGCTCCTGGGAGTGAGGAGGGCTCCGAGGTTGTATCGGGTAGACTGGAGAAGTCTTCCCGCAGCGGGTGCTCAGGGAAGGAGCAGAATCCAGGAGTCCAGATCCACAGAGTGAAGGCTCAGAGGAGCTGGGAGGAGCTGGAAAGAATAATTTCAAGAGCTTTAATTACCTCTTTCCCACAGCCACCCAGTCCCACCCAAACCCTTCAACATCTACCTCCTTAAGAGGCCTATTGTGGAGAGAAGGTGTAGGGCGGTATTACGGAACAGGGCTCCACTGACTCCTGCCCTGGAAGGGGTGTGGGCTCCTGGGGCAAGCAGAGGTTCCCTTGGGCCTTTGTCCTTGGCTGGGATCCCCACTGGTCTGAGCAGCTGGAATGGAATGTTCCTGGGATGAAAAGCCTGCCCCCTCCTCCACCTCTCCCCTTATGGAGTTCCCCAGGGACCGTAGTGGGGAGAAGGGAGACTGTTCCAGGGATTCCTGATATGGCGATGCTCTGGAGAAGCAAAGGCCCACACTACCGGGGACTCTGTCCTGGCAGCCTCTCCTGGGCTAGCTAGATTGGCTCCATCAAACCTTTACAGATCTCCACTATGTGCTAGGCACTTAGTATGACCTGTCGTTTAATACTTAGAAGTTATCTCTTCCCTAACTCCCATACACACACAAACACACAAAAGAAACTGGCTCAGAGAAGGGAAGCCATTTGCCCAAGGTACCCAGCTGAGAAGTTTCAGGCCAGGACTGAATCCCAGGCCTGTTTCATTCCAAGTCAGGGGCACTTTCTGCCCTACCACAGAGCCTGTCACCCTCCTCCTCTGCCATTCCATGCTCTTTGCTCTCCTTGGCACCAAACATTCCAGCCCAGGTGCGCAGGGAGAGGGAGCCTTCCCAGGCAAGTCCAGGCCCTGAGCATCCTTGGCCTGCCCTTGCCTGAAGCCAGTGTGCTGACTCAGCCTCACTCACCCTCTGGAGCCCAGACAACCAGAATGGGGATCCAGCTTCTGGGGGTGTGCCCAGACTTTGTGGGGAGGACCTTCTGCCATCCCTCCAGTGTCTCATCACATCCTTCCCTAGAACCAAGGACCAGGGGTCACTGTGTCCAGACTTAAAGAGCCCAGAAATCCCCCCAATGGAGCCCTCATTAGCCTGATGAATGAAAAGCCATATAACCTAATGTTTAAGGGATCCTCCACTTAAAGGTTCTATGTACTTGGGCAAGTCACCTGCCCTCCCTGACTCTCAGTTTCCTCAACCATAGAAATGAGGATTTTGCATAGCTGGAAAGGCTGAAACAGATAATGGGTTGAGTGCTTAGCACAATGCCTGGCAGAGGAGGTAGTTAATATATTATTCCCGAACCAAATATTCCCTTCCCCCATCATTCCTGGCCAGGGTGCAGGAAATAGGCCTGAGGATCTCCTTGCTTTCCTAGGTACCTCCTCCCCGCTGGCTGTAAAACAGGCAGCCTCTCCTTCAGCTCTGAGAAGCCTGGGACCCCTGCGTGCTTCTGGAGGGATATGGCTGTCAGGGGAAGGGATCCTCCTAGAGACTGCCCACTGCAGGCTTGGAACGCCCTAGCCTCCACCTGTTGCTTCAGTCTAATCTCTAGGAAGCCACCTTGGTCCCCAGGAGGCGGCGGGACGGGGTGTTGTGATCAATTATCGGTATAATACACCCAAAGGGGCGAAATGACTGCGGGCTTTTACTGAGACAGTGACCACCAACAGGGCCACCTCTCTTTCCAGGAAGGTCTTTCCTGATGTACTTTTCCCCTGAGGTCCAGGGCCCGGCCCAACCCCAGGGCTTCCTTTGTGTCCCCTCTCTAAGTGACCTCCACTACTCGCTCTCTCTGCCAGACCCTCAAAGCTCAAGGCCCGGGTAAGGAGCTGTTTGGGGGCGGGGACAAAGCCTGCTCCAGGCCACGCCCCCACATCCCAGGATGCAGCCCCACACTGCCCTCTGGTGGCGCCGCCCAGAGACGCCCTCACTTGGCTGGGGCCAGCCAAAAGAGAGAAGGAGTTTTTCCCGGGGAGGGGCACGTCCCAGATTAGAAGCCTAAACGGGTCTCCCAGCCTCAGGCACTGGCCTGGAGAAAGGCTCCTGTTCTCTTCATTTCTCTTTGCTGAGATCCCAGATTCACACACTGATGGCCATCAATGTCCTCAGTGCATAAGTCCCTCAAGATCCCCTGTACTCTGTCCAGTCCCCAGGGCTGGGGGCCATCAAGAAAGTGTTCAGGAAGTTATGGGGGGGAGGGTCAGTCTCCTGACCAGGGGCTATAGTTATTTGTGAAGGCCTAAAAATAGCCCTCCAACAACATCAACTGCCCAGGTCTTAAAAGCAGAGACCCTCTGACTCAGTGCCGTTTCTGGAGGCCCTGCACTGAGTAGATATCAGTTTATTCATTGAGAAAATGGAGCCTCCTAGAAGGGGCTCTGGGTGGGCCAGGCAGAGGTGAGAAGATGACTTTTATTAGTTGGCTGAGGGGTAGTGGGCAGAGCACTGAACCAAGAGCTGGAGTTCAAGTCACTGAGTGCTGTGTGCCCTGGCCAAGGCCCTTGGTGAGAAGCAGTGGGACATATGGAAGTGGAGGGAGGGGACAGAGCTGCCTGTGACACTGGGACCAATCTCCATTTCCTACACACATCGCCACTTTCTCCAGCAAGAGCCATCTCTAATTCTCTACCGCCCCCACCCCCTCCAAATCAGGACAAAGCTGATTACCAATAAATCCCAGAGAAAGGAAAGACAAAATGGTGACAGCATAGAGCACTTTACACCATTAGCTAAAAGCTTTTCTGGACCAAGCGCCGTCTCCCGTGTAATCCAGAAAGCAAACAGTCCTGGCTGCAGCCCAGCGCCGTGGCCTGAGCTCCTCTCTGTGTCACCTCCAGGAAGTCTTTGTCCTCTCTGGGCCTCTAGACCCCAAATGACCCAAGTAGCTTAGTGAACTACCTCCTCTCTGGGCAGGCCAGAGGATGCCAGGGCCCCTCACTGCTCTCCTGGCCCCCAAGCTCTCTCAGAGCCCCTGAGACCTCCTCTTGAACCTCCCTTCCCCAGCGAAGAATGGGTTCACGAAGGCCTACCTGGGGAGAGGAAGGGCTGGTGGGAGAGGGTCAGGTGAGGGCCCCTGGGGCTCTGCCTTTGAGCAGAGCACCTGACCCTCAGGACTCCAGGATTAAACCAGATTCCCATAACTCTGACGTTCTCATCCTACGCTCTTCTCCCCATCCCCAAGCCCTGACATGAGGAGGGACGGCTCTGTTCAGAGAGGGACTGAGGAAACCAGCGCAAAGAAGGGGCAGAGTTGTTCTAGGTCACACAGCAGGCAGGCACACCAGCTCTCTCTAGCCCCTGCCTCTGGGCAAGGAAGAGACACAATGGGAAGGACACATACAGGCCCTGGACCTAGCTCTGCCCCTTGCTGACATGTGACCTTGCCACTCCATAAAGTGAGGCCTTTAAATTAGCTCCTGGCTCCACCAGTAAAAGCAGTGCCTGTTTCGAGGTGCGATTTAAGAGAGTAAAACATTATTCCATGACTTAGAGGGGAAGAAGACAGAGCTCTGCCCTGTGTTAACCTCACTACAGCCCTTCCGGAAAGTGAAGACACCCACTTCACAGACTGACAAGTGAGGCTGCAGTCAACTCAGCTGGAGAGGAGTAAAGCAGCAGCCAGGCCACTCACAGCTGAGTGGGGGCAGGGGCATGGGGGGCCTGAAGGGCATGTGGCCGGAAGAGAGGCTGATCTCATTACAGGTCTGGCCCTTTAAGGCCTCCCTTTCTAGCATCCCACGACATACCTGCCCCCTTGGGGCCTGTTAAAGAATGTCACCTGGCTCCATCCCTGCAGAGCCATCTTAGACACAGGCTGGGAGGGGGGCTCCTAGGAGAGCAGGTGAGGCCTTAGGCAGTTACCAAACACCCCACCCCGATTATTTTAGCCAAGCTACAGGAGGGTATGAGAAAAGATCCATCTCCTAGAAGCGGAAGGACCTAAGTATAAATGTGATGGGAATAAATCCTCAATCTTTCTGGGTCTCCATCTCCCGAAATGAGACACGGGGGCTTAGGAGAGGAAAACTCAGTGGTACATCGCTGTGCCAGCCCCCATCCCAGGCCAGGGCCTCATTATTCTGTCCTCCCCAAGGTGTGGAGCTGGGCGGTGCCGGAACGCAGCAGCCTCAAGGGCAAGATTCTTCTTACAGCCCCAAGGGTCCAGGAGAGGCATGGCAGGTGGAGATGAAGCTAGGGGTGCTGCGTCAATACAGCAGACTCCGACTCGTAAAAGTTCGCCCCCAACCCCACGCTGTGATCCACGCTCAATTTGTCCAACTCTATAACGGGGGCTTGGTGGTACCACCTCACTCCCCAGGTGATCTAGGGGAGGCGGCAGCAGAAAGTGGACAGCTGTATTAGGGACCCAGCAGACTCCAGAAGCCCCAGCGAAGGGAGACCCGGACCCTGCACCACCCCGCCCCGCGGATGCACCAGCCCCTAAGACCGCACCTCAACCTCCTTTACTGGGCCCCCGGCCCCCCGACTGTCTCTTCCTGTGGTCGGTCAGTCCGTCCATCCGCGTCGGTGACATCCAGCCAGTGTTCTCAATCCGTCGGTCAGCACCTTGGCGATGGCCGGTCGGGGTGGTCAGGAGTCCCGGCGCTAGGTCAGCGCTGGGGAGAAGCGGGGCCGCGGGGAGGGCTTCGGCGGAAGGGCGAGTCGGGCTCGGGGCCGTGGCCTCGCCGCAGGCGCCCGGCGCCCCAGGGCACGCAGCCGCCCAGGCCGAGCGCCGAGGCGAGCAGCGCGGGCGGGCGGGCGCGGCGGCCGCGGCGCTGGCCCTTCTTGAGGCGCGACCCGTGCGCCGCCAGGTAGAGCTCGGCCTGCGCCACACCGCCGCCCAGGCGGCCCAGGCTCTCGGCGCGGTGCGCCAGGCGCAGCTCGGCCGCCAGAAAGACGCGGTGCAGCTGCAGCACGCGGCTCTCCAGCTCCGACACCAGGCGCCGGCGGCCCTCCACCTCCAGCAGTCGCCGCCGCGCTTCGGCCAGCTCCAGGGCGCGCCCCGCAGCCCCGGCTGCCGCCGCGCCCGGGCCGCCGGTGCCCCCCGCACCCCCACTAGCGCCCTGGCGCCAGCGCTGCAGCTCCTGCCCTTCGGCAGAGACCGCCGACGCCGGGGCCGCCTCCGGCAGCGGCGAGGCCTGAGCCAGCGTCGGGGGCAAGGTCAGAGTTGGGGGCGGGGGCTGAGGGGACGACAAGGGCTCCCGGGGCGGCGGCGGTGGGGACCCCGGCTCTGCCGTCCCTTCCTGGGCCCCCGGGCCGCAGGCGCTGATGCGGCAGCCCGGCATCCCCCGCCCCCCGGCGGTCTGCAGCGGTCAGTCCGCGGGTCTCGCCGGCTACCCCCGCGCGGGGCACGATGGAGGATGGACGCCGCGCACCGGAGAGAGATGCGGCCGCAGCCCCTACGCCAGCGCGGTGCTTTCCGCCGGTGCGTCTTATAGAACACGAGGCCGAGCGATGGACAGCACAGCCTATCAGAGACTGGTATGCTGGAACCCGCCTCCCCTGCCCCGCCCGTTCAGGACTCGCCCAAACCGTTCAGGTCCTTGGTCTTTCGTCCCACTTTGCCCTGCTAGGCCATCAGGTCCTCATCCCCCTTGCTCCAAATTTGGGGTAGGAAGACGACTGCATCTTCTCTGGTCTGATCGCTGAGTCATAAGCTCTGGTAGCTGCTACTTAGAAATCATGGGCTCTCGGTGGAGGAAGATTTTGCCTGAGGCCAAACTATGTGACATTGAGAGTCTGAACTAGAAACTCAGGAGACTTGACTCCTTGCGCGGTGCTCCTTCCCGTACCGCACGCTGCCCTTTGGCCGAATCGGTTCTGCGTAGTCTCCTGGGCCACAAGCCTCGCTAGGACCTCTTCTCCAACCTCCCTGACTCAGTGGAGGGGTTAACCCAGAAGGGCGACTGGCGTCCCGGCGGAGATCTGGCCGCGTTGGTTGCCCGCCAGGCAGGCCCTTCGCTTGCAGAACAAACCACAGCGCTGCCGCTGAGCCTAGCGCGGCTTTCGCAAACGTTGGTGGCCCCCCAAAGGGGCCCCGGACCCGGCGGTGTGCAGTTCTTTCCACGCCCCTGCTCCTGTTTTCTCCTCCCAGTAGGTGTCCCCATACCCTTTGCACAGGGGGGTAAGCAGACCCAGAAGGTGCAGTGGTGCCTTGCCCGAGGTCACATGGCCAGTCGGTTGCTGAATCTGGACCACTGAGTGGGACCAACTCAGCCATTCATGCCCCCTGGGAGCTCAGATACCTGGGTCTCCTCACTGTCACTGAGAGGCCCTCCGTAACAGGACTTTAGTCATCCTGGCAAACTGATAGGACTGAGCCCTGCCCATTTTCTTCAAAGCAGAAGTGACGCTCCCATACCCTCCAAACACTGGCCCAGCAGCCATGGCCCTGCCTCAGTTTCCATCCCACGGAAGGTGCCATCAGAGTTGGGAAGTCTCTGTGGTGGGCGGGGGCAGGGGCTGGAGGGTCAGAAACCAGCTCTGAGACCGACTGGGAAGAAGTGCAGCAAACCCTGGGCTCAGGTGGACTTGCCAAAGGTGTGGTCAGTGCGACTGGCCTGAAAAGGAGACTGACGCAGGAGCTGCACTCCCTTGATGTGGAGGAGGACGATGGAGTCCCTCCCCCCAGGTGCTCTAAGTGCTTTCAGGTGCCTTAGATTGAGTGATGGGGACTCGTGGGCGAGACAGCTCGGCTCCTGGGTGGGAGCTCTCAGAAGAGACTCACAGGAGGGAGAGGTCCATGAGGGGGCGCCAGCCTCAGTGCAGAGGAAGGGAGGAGGAATTAGAATGCGGGAGTGAGTGGGAGGGTGATCAGTGAGCAGTAGTGGAGGCTCAGTGGCGGGGAAGGGGAGTGGCCCAGTCAGAGGACGGGCTCAGTGAGGGCAAGAAGAGGGGTTCACTGAAGGAACGTGATGGGCTCAGTGAGGGGGAGGGGTTAGTGGACGCGTTGGTGCTGGAGGAGGCTCACAGGGGGAGAAGGGAGGCTCAGTGAGAGGGACGGGGACTCAGGGAGTCAGAGGGACTCGATGGGGATGACAGAGGCTCAGGAGTTACCAGCTTGCCCCCCACAAGGAGGAAGCTCTGCTGAATGGTGTCATTCCTTTGAATGTCTCCTTTGTGTCATCAAACCTCGTGTCTTTCTCTGTGCAGAAGTCCAGCTCCTCCCTTTCCTGTGGGGAGACTGACAGGTGTTTTGCCTGCAACAGGTAGATCACTGCTCCCAGCTTCTGGGGGATGAATCAAGGGGAACAAGACCAGAACTTACCACCGCCCCCCCCCCCCACCAAATCAGCCAGCTCCAGAGAACCAGCCAGATCTGAGTTCAAATCCTACGTGCACTGGATGACCTTGGGCAAGTCATTTCTGTGAATAGGAGGAGATACTCAATCTTCTTTTTTTTTTTTAGGTTTTTAAAGATTGGCCCTGAGCTAACATCTGTTGCCAATCTTTTTTTTTTTTTTTTTTTCCATCTTCTCCCCAAAGCCGCCCAGTACATAGTTATATATTCTAGTTGCGGGTCCTTCTGGCTCTGCTATTTGGGACCCTGCCTCAGCATAGCTTGATGAACGGTACCATGTCCGCGCACAGGATCCAAACCCGTGAAACCCTGGGCCTCTGAAGCAGAGTACACCAGCTTAACCATTCATCCACGGGACCGGGCCCTCAACCTATCTTCACTGAATGGATGAATGTTCTCTATTTCCTCACAGAATACCTAAAGAGGGGCATCAGCAGCCTTTTCCTGATGAGAAACCAAAGCCCACAGAAGTGAAGAGGCTTGCCCAAGGTCATACAGCAGATAAGTGGCCAAGGCAGAATTCAAACACAGATCTGACCCATCCCAAAGTCGTCCCTCAGCTCCCTGTTATTCTCTGGTATGTCCCCTGTTTCTATCCTTGATGGCATTTCTCACAAGTTACAGATATATATGTAGTTGTTTATTGTTATTTAAGAGTCTCTCTCCCTTGATTGATTTTGCTTATCATTAGAATCTCCTGTGGTTGAGTGCCTGGCCTCATGAGGCACTCAATAAACGTTTGTTTGAATGGAAAAATAATGCAAGGATAGAGCTTGATGCAAATGGAGAAGCCTCCTTCTCCATTCATTCATTTATTCCTTCTTTCTTTATTTCACTCATTCAACAAATTTGATCATTATCTCCTCTGTTGGGCTGGCTGCTGGAGGTACAGCGACGATCAGATGGGGCTCTGCCCTCGAGAAGCGCATAGTCTAGGGGGACACAGACAGTGATGACAGTTCAGTGAGGTATCTCCAGGGATGGGGGTAACACTGAGGCTACGGGAACAGAGCAGATACTGTGCCCAGCTGGGTGGGGAGGCAATCGGGGAGACTTCCTTGCAGGAGATGGTATTTAAACTGAGACCTGAAGGATGAATCCAAGTGAGGGGTGCACAGATGGTCGGGGGACAGGAAGGGAGAAGGATTCAGGATGGGAACATCGTGTGCACAGGACCAGAGGTGAGAGAAGTTTAGCATCTGCCAGCTTCCTTCCAGGCTTCCTTAATTGGCCTGAGCTCCGCACTCCGGGAGTGGACGGGGGCCATGGACAACTCATAGGGCACAGCCAACCCATGAAGCACAACATTTGGAATTAGGGAATACATTTTTAAATGATAATGATTATTGTTTTTTTCTGACCTTTATTTTTTTTTCCTAAGATTGGAACCTGAGCTAACAACTGTTGCCAATCTTTTTTTTTTCTGCTTTTTCTCCCCCAACCCCCCCCATTACATAGTTGTATATTTTAGTTGTGGGTCCTTCGAGCTGTGGCATGTGGGATGCTGCCTCAGCATGGCCTGATGTGGCCATGTCCACGCCCAGGATCTGAACCAGCAAAACCCTGCGCTGCCAAAGCAGAGTGCACGAACTCAACCACTTGGCCATGGGGCCGGCCCCTCTGATCTTTATAAAAGTTATACATTCCTTTTGTAGGAAAGATGGGAAAGAGAGGAAATATTTAAAATATAAAAAAGGATACAGAGAGGAAAACATCTGGAATTAGAGAGATGAGTCTGAATTGAAGCTCAGTCCTTTCCTAGCTGTGCAACCCTGAGAAACGCACTTTTTCTCTGTGAATTTCAGGGTCTGAGAAATGGAACTGCCAATACCTGTGGCATTCACAAGGACACAGAAAGATGCAAGGATTTGTCCAACGTCTCATACACTGGTCAGATCTGTCTGTGGTCTGAGTCAGAGACCCTGAAAGAGAAAAGGCAGCCCAGGGGGACCGTGGTTCCAGAGTCCTGTCCATCACCTGCCCTGTCCTCCCAGGACAGCAGCCAGTGGAGACGGAGCCTTACAGAGGGAATGGTGTGTGCGGCTGTGGCCCAAAGCAGGATCTCTCCATCAGCTGAGAGTGGGGTGGGACAGGAGGTCAAGGCCTGAGGGGTCTACTTCTATCCCAGCCTAGAAGGCTCAAGGTCTTGCTAAGAGATCTAACCCCGCCCTTTCAGTCTCTTCCTGGCACCCTGGCCTGGCACCCTCTAGGATGCAATGCTGTTTAATAATTCAGCAGATGCAGACAAAGATAGCAGCTCTGAAAATAACCTAACTAAACCCCAGCCTCCATCTCCTCTTTCCCCAGCAGACTGCCCTGCCCTTCCCCCAAGGTCTCTGGTCGCCCCATACACCTGTCAGTGCCCCTGGCTGCCAATGGGCACCTGGTTCAACACTCTTCCTCTTCCTTCTAGTCTTTCTCCTCCTTCTCCCCTCTCCTCCTCACCTCCATGAGAACTCCATTCTCATATTAAAAGCTTTTATATTAATTAGAGCTTAAAGAAATCTTGTGCTAGAAGTAGACTTGGGTTTAATTCATTATGTGGACTTGAGCAAGTTCCTTCTCTCTAAGCTTCTGTTCCTACATTTGTAAAACGAGGTCTCTGGATTCCTAAATGGGCATGAACAAAATGTTTAGGGGGTGGCAATTATTTGGCCAGGGGACTAGATATCTTTCCTAGGAAGACATAACAGCAGTGGCAGCGTCATCTCAGTCAGCAGCACTGCAGTCCATCCTGCTGCTCCATCTGGAGAGCCCACAGGTTTTCTTTGTTTTTAATTTCTCTTGTGATGAAAATTTTGCCCTGGTTATCATTCCTGGAATAAAAGGCTGTGACTTGTGTTCACAATGGTTGTAGCAGGTTCCACATGCTTTCGGCACTTCATCACATTTCTGACAAGTAGAAATTTTACTTGTCTCTGGAAGTTGGAAAGAGTAATGCCCCTTCCCCCTTGAAGCTTTGCTCAAATCACCCCCACCTTCATGGGTCTCGGTTTTGACATGTCTAAAGTGGCCAGGTGTTAAAGGGTAAGTAGGACAAGGTAAGACTCCGTGATCTCTAGATTGTAGCTCCAAAAGGGGTGAGAGCGTGTCTGTTTTCGTGCATTCATTCCACAGCGTGATTAAGCACTTACTCTGTACCAGCCACTGTGCCAGGAGCAAGGGGCACAGCAGTAAATAAAAGCAGCACAAGCCCTGTCCCTCGAAGCTTACATTTCAGAAATCAAAATAATTAAATCCTAAGAAATGTGCCATGAAGGAATAATAAAATACCTGCTACTATTTACTTAGTGCTTACTCTGTACCAGGTACTGATCCTATGAGGTACTATTATTAGCATACCCATTTTACAGATGAGGACACTGAAGGACAGAGTGGTCAAGTAAATGTGGCCAAGGTCACACAGTCAAGGAGTAACTGACCTGGGATTCAATACTCAGGCAGTCTGCCTCCAGAGCCTGTTTTCAACCACAATGCCATAGTGCTTTCTTAGAAACCACGAGCAAGGAATAAACTGGTGACATGATAGAAAGAGGAGTTGAGGAGGGCATCTCCTTAGGAGGTGACATTTAAGCTGAGACCTGAAAGATGAGCAAGAGTCAGTCATGTGGAATTGGAGAGAGAAATTTCCCAGCAGAAAAAATAGTATGTGCAAAGGTCCCGAGACAGAAAAATCAGTGTGTTTGGTGCCTGGTAAGCCAGCAGGGAAATGGGGAGACCTGAGGTCAGAGGAGCAGGCTGGGCCTGGAGGCCAGGATGAGGATTTTGGATTTTACTCTAAGTAAGTGCAAGGGATGCATTTGAAAGGTTTAAGAGGGGATCAACGTGATCTGATTTGTTTTTAAAAGATCGTGCTATTTGCTGTGTTGAGAATAAACTGAAAGGGAGAAAGAGGGAAAAAGGGAGAGCAGTTAGGAGATTACTGCAGTAATCCAGCTGAGAGAGGACGGTGGCTAGGCCAGGAGTAATGGCAAGAGGTGGGAGGGGGGATAGATTTGATTTTTATTTGGTGGTGAACCGAGAGGACTTGTGGATGGATTAGTGTGGGGGTGAGAGAATGCCCTCTGGGTTTGCGGATGGAGCAGCAGGATGGATTGGGGTGCCCTTGACTGAGAGGGGAAAGACCAAGGGAGGCACAGGTTTAGTGGAGAAATCAAGGTCAGGAGGTTTTTTTTCCTAAATGATAATCGCTTCATTAAAAAAATAAGAACAAAAAGGATCTACAGTAATAGGCCATTATATCACCCCATTTTTTAGTCCAACTAATAAATATTATACTTCACAGAGGGTGTACATTTACTTTTAAAGGTGGGAAAATTATTTGAAATAACTGGGATCTACACTGCATTCAGATAAGATGGTTGGAGTTACTGTGCACTGGAAAATGAATATCTAACTCGTAAAATCATGTGTATTGAGTATCATCTATATGGAAAGGCAAAACTCAATAAAAATACGATACAGAGAGGAAAAAACATATTTCTAGTAAAGGTCTACATGCATAGGGGATAGGTAAACTTTTGGAAAGAATTTTGGTTTGGACAGATTTTGGAAACTATTTTCTGTTTTTCTTCTCTATTTTGAATACTCTACTCACAGAATACTTCACTTCTGACACTTCTGGTCACCAAATGTGTGTGTGTTTTTCCCATACCTACCAATTCTCCGACACCAGCTGGGTGTCCTGCAATTCAGTTCAATTCTGACGCTAACCGGAGCTAGCGCAGACCACAGAGGTTAAGGGTTCATTCCCACACGACTGCTCCCCACTTCAGACCCCAATCGCAAGTAGCAGGTCCCCAGGTTACCCACAACTTCTGTCCAGCTTGGTTATAAATCAGAGGTTCCCATGACCCCTCCTTAGATTCTATGGCAGGCATCCCACATATAAAGTAGAGGAAGATGGGCATGGATGTGAGCTCAGGGCCAGTCTTCCTCAGCAAAAAGAGGAGGATTGGCAGCAGATGTTAGCTCAGGACTAATCTCCACCTCACCCCACCCCCCAAAAAAGATGCTCCTAGTGCTTCTATCATTTAGGAAATTAGACAGGAGATGGGGGCAGAGACTAATACACATATTTCCCATTATTTCACAACACCCCAGTTGGATATCCATGATACGTAGGCAGGTATATAGATGCTTCTGGAAGTCAGCACTGGAGAGTCAGGGCTGGAGACTTAAATCTGGGGAGTCATCAATGTATAGATGGTACTTAAAGCCGCAGGACTTTATCCTGAGGATGAATGGCCTCAGGAGAAAGTGTTAATAGAGAAGAGAAGTGGACAGAGGCCTGAGACACCACTTTTAGAAGTCAGGATGATGGGGAGGAACCAGCCAAGGAACCCGAACATGGGTGGTTGGCGATAAAGGGGGAAAACAAGGAAGTGGCTGAACCATAAATTGAGAGGGAGGAGGCAATCATGGCAAATGTAGACCACTGTTGTGTGAAGTTTTGTTTTGAAAAGATGCAGATAAAGGGGTGGTATCTTGCAAGAAAGTGGGATTGACAGGGGCTCTGTGAGATGGGAGCCCCGAGGAGCACCTTTGTAGGCTGCTGGGAGCGATCCAGCAGAGAGGGAACTATGCTGTCTGGCACGGAGCCATCACCTCAAATGGGAGATTCTCAAGAAGGCAAGAGAGGACGGGCTCTCCAGCAAGCTCCTTCCTGCCACAAGCCTTTATTAAGTGCTTACTGTGTGCCAGATGCTGTTCTAAGTGCTGGGGACACAGCACTTGTGGGGATCAAGACAGGCAAGGTCCCTGCACCCAAGCACTCTCCATCCAGAGGCAGAGAGGAAGGCCATAAAAAATCGACACAACGGGATGGTTTCAGATCGGGTCACGTGCGTGCTGTGAAGGAAGTGAACAGGGTGATGCGATAGGGAGTAACTGAGGGGATGTACTTTAGAGAAGTCCAGGATGACGGAATGGGCATCATCCATTTGTCCTACTTTTGATAACAATGCCTTTACATTTTAGGGGGAGCCACTTCTCCTATGTGCTCAATGCATGGTTTTTGTGGGGCTGACCCCAGTCCATTTCCAGGACTGGGCTTGTGATCCTGGCCTGACCAATGAAACTCAATACTAGGACGTTTGCTAGAACTAGCAGGAAAGAGAAACTTTCTTTGCCCAGGAATTGTTGACCACGTAGATTATAAACAAAGGAAGTGCCTGCCTGCTACCTGGCAGGATAGCCCAGAAACAGAGACCTGATGTGTGAGGAAATCACTTGAGCATCTGACTCCTGCTCTATCTGAAGGTAGTGCTACCCTTGGATTTTTCAGTTAAGTGAGCCAATAAATTCTCCTGTTTTTCCTTAAGCTATTTTTTTTTAAGATTTTATTTTTCTTTTTTCTCCCAAAGCTCCCCCGGTACATAGTTGTGTATTTTTAGTTGTGGGTCCTTCTAGTTGTGGCACGTGGGATGCTGCCTCAGCATGGCTTAATGAGCGGTGCCATGTCCGCACCCAGGAGTGGAAGTCATGAAACCCTGGGCCACTGAAGCGGAGCGCATGAACTTGACCACTCAGCCACCAGGCTGGCCCCACCTTAAGCTATTTTGAGCTGCGTTTTCTTTCACTTATAACTGAACAAATCCTGATTGAGGAAAAAGGCGTGAAGGATGCAAAGGAACCAGGCTTAGAAATGCCAGAGAAAAGCAATCCAGGAAGGAACAGGAAGCACAAAGATTCTTTGCAGAAGAGAGTTTGGCGCATTTGGGGAACACAAGGGAGGCAAGTGAAGCTGGAATATAATGTCTGTGGTGATGGAATGAGATGGGACAGAACCACAGGAAGAGAGTTCCATTTCCAGCAAAATGGCAGAAGAGGAGAGCAGAGAAACACTTCTCCATATATAGCATTTTAAAACCGATGGTTTGGGGGCCCGCCCTGTGGCGCAGCGGTTAAGTTTGCACGTTCCACTTCGGCAGCCCGGGGTTTACCTGTTCGAATCCCAGTGCGGACACGGCACCACTTGGCAAGCCATGCTGTGGTAGGCATCCCACATATAAAGTAGAGGAACATGGGCACGGATGTTAGCTCAGGGCCAGTCTTCCTCAGCAAAAAGAGGAGGATTGGCAGCAGATGTTAGCTCAGGGCTAATCTTTCTCAAAAAAAACAAAGAAACCCTGATGGTTAGGGGGCCGCCCCGTGGCCTAGTGGTTTGGCACTTGCGCTCTGCTTTGGCGGCCCAGGGTTTCACTGGTTCAGATCCTGGGCACGGACATGGCACCACTCATCAAGCCATGTTGAGGTGGCATCCCACATGCCACAACTAGAAGGACCCACAAATAAAATATACAACTAAAAAGATGGTTAAATTTTAAAAATTATCTTTTGTAAGGCATCAATGAGCTTCTACAAAGTAAGAGAAATAAGAGAGGCCAGAAATGACAAGAAAGGGCAATTCCTTGGGAGGAAATGAGCCTTGGAGCCAGTGTTTGCCCTGAAGCACCTGTTGAAAACCAAGACATAGACCAGTCAAAATGTTTTAACTTCAGCCTATGATAAGACATTTTACAACAGGACCCAGTACACAGATAAAAGTTTCACAAGCAATATTCATCCTAATTACAGGTGTGGCACGTTGATATTTCCTGGTCTAATCTATTCTACGCTATTTGATTTTCTTTTTTTTAAAATGCTGGTTGAGATCCATTAAAGGATGGAGTGCTAGGAGTCGCAGACTGTTCTATTTGGGGAGGGGAAGCCAAGCTGCAATCAAATTGCAAGCTGCAATCATGGAGCATTCAGAAGAAAGGGACTATTTGGGGCTCCAGCATTTTGTTGGATTTATCTTTTCTAGGGAGTTAAATTTTGGCCATGTTGATTTTGAAATGCCTATTAAGTAGACATTCAAGCAGAAATTTTAAGTGCCAGTTGAATTTATGTGTCTGGAGCTCAGGAGAGAGGACGAGGCTGCAGATGTGAATTTGGAATTTTCAGCACATATGCAGTATTTAAGTGGATGAGGTGACCATAGGATGAGAGAAGGCAGAGGAGAGGAGAGAAACAAGAAGTGAGGCTGGGGCACTCCGATGTTAAGCAGCCAGGGAGAAGTGGTCCACAACCTTTGCCCTTTTCTTTCTCCTTTTCTCTATGCTGCTGTCAGAAACGTGGATGTGGTGGATGCCATCAAGGACCTTAAGACAAGGGCCTCACTCTGGGGTTGGCAGAGCAGTGAGCTGCTGCGTGGAGTCTCTTACTTCCAGCTGAATCTAATTCCTCAATGACACGGGAACGAAATTGAGAAAGTCCTCGCAAGACTGACCACGAAAAAAAACAAGGGAGGTGGCACAAATAAACAATGTTACGTTTGGAGAACTGCACTACCAAACTACAGTTGTAGCAGAGATTTAAAAGATAATAGGAGAAAATTATAAACAATTTTATGACAAAAAACTTAAAGGTAAAATAGACAAATTTCTGGAAGGATAAAAATTTATATCAAAAACACTCAAGGACTGTATGAGAAAGAAAAATTACAGAACAATATTACTTAAGAACATAGATGTAGGGGCTGGCCTGGTGGCAGAGTGGTTAAGTTCATACACTCTGCTTTGGTGGCCCTGGGTTCGCAGGTTTGACTCCTAGGTGTGGACAAACATACCGCTCATCGAGCCATGTTGTGGCAGCGTCCCACATACAAAAAAAAAAAAAATAGAGGGAGATTGGCACAGATATTAGCTCAGGCAAATTTTCCTCACCAAACAAAAAAAAGAACATAGATGTAAATGCCCTAAACAAAATATTAGCAAGCAAATTTAGCAATGTATTTAAAAAATAATTCACGGACCAACTTGAGTTGATTTAAGGTTGATTCAACAGTGGGAAAATCTACTAGTATAATTAATCATATTAATATGCTAGAGGAGAAAAGCCAAGTGGACATTTCAATTTAGACAGAAAATGTATCTTGATAATTCAATAATCTTTTATGCTAAAAATTCTTAGCAAACTAGGTAAAAAGCACCATTAACCTGATAAAGCGCCCCCTCCTGGAAGGGGGAGTATCTACATATATTTGGAATTCTGCAAGGAAAATTGCTCTCTTCTCTCCTGTTTATTTATTCTATCATCTCTGATTTTAAAAAGAAATTAAAACATTTTTGTGGGCCCCTAAAAGTATTGTAGGTTTTAGGTGCTGTGCTTTCTGTGCCCAACAGATAAATTAGCCTAAATGATTAACAACATTAAGGGAAGGATTAACACCATTTTCAGGATGGTGTTCTTCTCTGGGAGGATGAAGAAAGGGGAGGCAACAGAGGAGAGCCATACAGAGGGCTTCAAAGGGACTGAAATGTCCCATTAAACTAGATGCCTGGGTGTTCATTTTATCTTTACTCTTTGATATATGTATAAATATTTTATATGTTTGTATACACGCATATTCTTCTACATGTATGAGATATTTCATAATAAGATTTTTACAATAAAATGTGTAAGGACCGGTCATGTAGACCAGGGTAGGGCCTGGCCCACTGCAGGCACACCGTAAATGTTCATTGACTAATTTAATGACTGTCTGGCTCTGGATCAAGTCCCTCCTGCTCACTCAGGATGCTCTGGCTGTCTGCCATCCCCCCACCACCACGGGGGTGCCTAGTAGGGGTTCTGGAGATCCTCCCTGGGGCTCTCTAGCTGGGTCTGAAGACTCCAGATCCCAGGGGGACTGCTGGGCTGGTTCTAGCTACTCGACTGTAAGATGCTGAGGAACAGGGAATCTGCTAAGGTACAGATCCCCAGCCTGGGGCCAGAGGGACACAGGGGTATAGCTGTGGGACAGACAACTGCGTGGGACTTCTAAGGACCAGAGTGGGAGGCTCTTCCCCAACCTCTTAGATGCAGGGTAGGGGTGGCA